CGACGATCTAAACTTCGAGGTCCAGTTTGATTGCTTCACACACCTTGTAAATGAACCACGCTGTACAATTGCATTTACAAAAATACATCACGAATTCCTCACACGTGTGGACGTTACCGTCGCGAAAGGGTCCAAATAAAAGAGAAATCCAGTATAAAAAAAAAGTACACAACGGAGTTCACAAAACCTATCAACAACGACGAAAGACACACCGATACAGAAAACAAATCGCTATATATTGTTACGAAAGAAAAGAAAAAAAAACAAAAAAAAAAACAGAACGAAAAGAAACAAGAAAACGCGGCAAATATGAAACGTACAGCTCGTTCCAGTTGTTGAAGCATCGTTCTGGCTCCCGGAAGAAAAATACTCCGTGCTAGAAATTGATTTCCTTTGTCATTTTCATCATCGAATAAACCGCAGCTGTCCATTTTTTATCGTAGATCCTACGTTGTCCACTGCAATGGCGTAGAACAAATTTACTCTTAACTATATGATCTATACTCTCTCTCTCTGTCTCTCTTTCACTCTTACTCATTTTCTCTCTCTCTCTCTCTCTTTCTCTCTCTCTTCGTACGCGCATACAAGAAAATTTGAAGTTCGTTAGAATGATTTTAAATAACGACGATAAATCGTGATCGATGTTTTTTTTATTGTAATCGAACTCGAGCACCGTTCTCGTTAAGAAAGAAACAGAGAGTGAGTGAGGACGAGAGACAGACAGACAGAGAGAGAGAGAGAGAGAGAGAGAAATGTGAAGCAGAAGGAACGCGTACCCTGTACATCGTGTTCGAGCCAACCTGGATAATAACGAAATCCTGAATGCCTCCAAGCTTGAAACGTGGATATATTAACAACTTGTAATCATTCCATTGCATATTATATACAATTAAGATTTAGCGCGACAGTGTACTGTAAATCCATAGAAGTTATTATATCGTAATTATTATGTAATAAATATTGTTGTTAACATAAAATACTGCGTAGTTGATTTTCTTATTTTCTTATCAATTATAGTTTATATTATATATTATATTTTTGTGAGAAAATTATGGTAGTTTCAATTTAGTCGACTTTTACACATTTTTATAAAATTAAACAAATTTTAATTACGCAACTTAGTACCTACTGGTATTTTCTTCTAATTTCATTATTTATTTGCGAAAAGAGATTACACATGTTCTCCCATAAATTTCGAGTAGAATGATTTCAGGAATTAACAATCTTCAATTCCGAGGCTTCTTTTTCCCCCTTATTAACTATAATGAACATTTACATTTGTTCCACTTGGAGAACAGTAAACCATGACGGCTAAAGTAGAATCACGATTGATAATAAGGATCGAGTATTGCGTCGTCACGAAACAACGAACGACTCCATGGAATCGAACAACGATGGGAAATGGTGAAAGTTGTTCGATCGCCATAATTATAGTACACGATGTAATAAATGCATTAATCAGTGGACGAGCAATGGGACATGGCGGTTCCACGGTAGGTTGCGTAGCAAAATAGTTTATTACGTAAAAACTAATTAAAAAATGTACAAAGAAACAACAGGGTCAAACATAACACAACGTACAATGTACACGACTAACAATCACGTAAACTATAATTATTCTATAATTATGTTGATCAATTGCTTCAGTAAGCTCAATACTGGCGGGAGGACGATCGTTTCCGACTTGTCGTTCGCTGGTTTTTTGCGAGAAGGCCGCGGGCGTATGGTTTGTGTGCGTTTGTTGAGAGATAGTAAATTCCTCGTGCTCTGAAAAATCATTAAATCGATCGTAATTTCTCCTTTATTGGCGTTCTTCGAATTATAGCGTTGTCGCGTTAGCTGTCCGTGGTCGGGACCATATTTGGTCACCTATCGAGGGACGGGCTATAGTCTGAACCAAGACATAGGGTGATCGAAAAAAATTATATTTTGAACTTGGAATATTATTATAGTATGCAATTTTTTAGAAGCAAATATAACAATGTGATTCAATAAAATAAGTAAAGAACGATTAAATTCTCACCAGAAAAAGATACGAATTCTGGCCAGTTATAGTCTGAACCAAGATATGAAGTGGTCGAAAAAATTATATTTTTAACTTTGAATATTATTATAGTATGCAATTTTTTAGGAGCAAATATAACAACGTGATTCAATAAAATAAGTAAAGAATGATTAAATTGTTATCAGGGAAAGATACGAATTCTGGCCGGCTATAGTCTGAACCAAGATATGAAGTGGTCGAAAAAATTATATTTTTAACTTTGAATATTATTATAGTATGCAATTTTTTAGGAGCAAATATAACAACGTGATTCAATAAAATAAGTAAAGAATGATTAAATTGTTATCAGGGAAAGATACGAATTCTGGCCGGCTATAGTCTGAACCAAGATATGAAGTGGTCGAAAAAATTATATTTTTAACTTTGAATATTATTATAGTATGCAATTTTTTAGGAGCAAATATAACAACGTGATTCAATAAAATAAGTAAATAATGATTAAATTGCCACGAAAAAAGAGGAGGAATTATTTGTTTAAATAAACAATTAAAAAGGTAGATAATTTTCTTACGTATGAGGGGCGTCTTCTCCCATGAGTATATACTCTTCGAGTTTCGGATTGCACCAACCGATCAGGTAAGAAAAGAGGTTTCCGCACGGCGCTGCCCAGAATCCTATTTTCGTCGTGATTGACTCTATGTAATAGGGCGTCACTTTTGTGTGATCGCACGACAGCGTCTCTGCGGACGAAACATTTCACTGATTTCATTCACAATCGACCATCCGTTCTGTAGAGTGTTTTTTTTTTTTTTCTAATCATGAGATAATGCTATACTTCTCAGTCACGTGTTTTGCAGAATTTCGAAACTTCGCCATCTTTCTTCTCTAGTAATATCGAAAATTTGACGAATTTCAATTTAAGTTAGAATATTCAATTTTAATAAATTTCAATCGCAACACGTTTCCAAGGCGTCGTATCGAATAAGCTACCCAATTCACTACGATAAAACATGGGAGAAACGAAATACTTTCATACAACGTTTTGAACTCGGCATTTTTCATTTGTGCTACTTTGAATAATAAACAATTTTGATACAGTAACGTTTCAACTTTCGACACTCTCCACCGTGTCGACAAACGTCAGCAAAATCTCTCCGATCACGCTAAAATTAATCTGCATAGTACACATCTGTTACGTAAAAATGAATCGAACTATCTCCTGTCAAGAAGGCCCACGCCATCGTAATTTACGTCTCATTTCATTCGGACAAGCTCGTTTCTCCATTATTTACTTTCTTCGCAACCACGCGTCTGCTAAGCGTTTCTTGAAGACCAATTAATCAATCCAGTGACGTAGAACACGTAACGTGACATATGAAATCTCGAACGGTATTCAGGTTTCTCTCGAGATCCGGAAAAGAATCCGGAAGGTCCTACTTACGGAGCAAGGAAGTTGTCGCGCATCCGGGCTGGCTGGAGCCTCCGTTCACGTAGAAGTCCGCGTGTCCAGTTGGTCCCCATTGGCCCAAAATCCCCGCCCCTGTGTGGATCACGTCGACGAAGTGTGCATCCGACTCGTCTAAATCCATCGACCGGTTTCCGTTCATGTAGAAAAATATAGTAGGATCGAGTCCTGGCCACCACGAACATGGAAATTCAGAAAAGGAGGTTAAACGGGGATTTTTATGGAAAGGGAGTTCGAGTTCGCCGCGTGATTGAGTGAGCGAACGGAGGAAACTTTGTGGAAAGAGATTGGCTGAACCACTAGTCGAATATATTATTACAATCAATTTAGGGATTTAAATGCTGAAGTACGAATATTGACAATTTAGAATAAATTATGGTGGTGAAAATATTGAAATTTATCTAACTGCGACCAATTTGGGAATTTAAGTAGATACTAAATTACAAACATTCATAATTTAGAATAAATTGTGGTGGTAAAAATATTGACCGATAAAAAATTTATCCAATAATCCAATATATTACTGCGACCAATTTGGGAATTTACATAGATACTAAATTACCAATATTTATAGTTTAGAATAAATTATGATGGTAAAAATATTGATCGATAAAAAATTTATCCAATAATCCAATATATCACTGCTATCAATTTGCTATAAATATAGATAATTTACAAATTAAATTATTTGTTACTTAAATTGCAAAAAAATTAAACTAAATTAAACAATGTTTATACAAATTGTTCCCTTCGTATTTCGTATTATCGTTATAATTTTTCAACAAAGCCTCAAATAACCTTTTCTTCTTACTTATACTCATAGAACATACCGACAAAGTTTGGTCGAAAACAACTGGGACACTCTATACACGCATACTTTAAAATTGCATAGAAATAAGAATGGATTAAAGAAACGAACTTATTGTCAGTCAATCTCACAATTCAGCGCCACCTATAATCACGATTAATTTCCGCAATGACGACATGATACGCTAAAAGTTGCTACATACTTCAGTTCCACCGTGTATCAGCAAATCGTATCATTAACGTGGTCAAGAAAAATGAAACGAGAGAAAAGAACAGAAATTGTAAGGATGAGATAACGTGATTATTAACGAAGAAGGCGTACGATTAAAACGGTGAAATTGCACACATTACCTGTAATCCTTCCAAGCTTGTCATCGGGCAAATAATTCGCAATCAGGCCAGCTATATGCGCGCCAACGCTGTACCCGAGCACGTGTATATTCTCCACCCTCGTTCCCCGAGGATGATCCCTCAAGTACCTTACCAACTGAGCAATACATCGTGAACAGAAATCTGGACCCCATTGTATTTGCGACAGACAGGGCTCGCGTACCAACGTACCGTAATCGACGATTATAATATTGTAATTGCCTCGCGTGAAATACGCTGAAATCGAAAGTTTCATACATCGAGACCGTCGTGTGCGAATGCCTGAGTGTATAAACGAATAACTTTTCCACGAATCTTAAGCTCCCTCTCGCACTGTGAATCATCTCTAACAGAAGACGATCGACGAGACGTTTGAATGAGCTAAAAATTTATCATCCACTTGGTATTCTTTTTTTCTTTTTTCTTTTGGATTAACCCCTTGCCGTATGATAACCAGTCAGACTTGTGCCACGGATTTTGGTCAAGATCTGATAAAAACAGTTACATCGGTAAGAAAAATTAATTTTATCTCCAATTTTCGGTTTAATTTGTAACACTAAAGATTGTCAAATTTAGTTAATCTATAATACATCAGCTTTTCTTACTTGATACAATAAGTAAAACAGTAAATAGCTGACGCTTAGACGCGTAGTCAGGAAAAGAAATCATACGTCAAGGGGTTAAAAAAAATCCAAGTATATAATTTGATAATTTGCAAGATAAATTATCTTTGGTTAGAATTAATGTAATTTTAATGATTTTCATTTTTTCACTTTTATTTCACGGATTTCTGTGGTTATTAGTATTTAACACGTGTTTAAAGTATTTAGTAGTCGGTTGGAAATGAAAGTATTTAAATATTTAATAGCTGGTTGGAAATGAAATGGTTACCCAAGGCCATTGAGATGTAACTTCTATCGTACTATTCGTGTCCAGTATGATTCTAGTAATTTTCGAGAGATTCTAAAAAGCGACGTTAACTTCTTATTGTAAGATTAAGTGGAAATTTATATAAATAACAAACATTTTACATTGGTGAAGTAAAGTGAATGCGATAATGATATTAAAATGTTTCTTTTATTATTACGGAAAAATTAGACACCATAATAGCGATCTTTAACATATTTTTAACATATTATTCCACATGTTGAGCTAAATGTTATAAATTATTCTAGAGATGTAGAAATGCGTCATGAACTTTCACGCAGCTTCGTCAGAAAAACTGATCAATGTTTGCTTCAAAACAGGTTTCAATAAATTATTCAAATAAATAATATAAGTTAAGAAGTGATTAAACTAGACGATAGAAAAATTGAATTCTTTCTTTTTCGTAATAAAAATTTCTTCTAAATAAGTAAATCGATCGTAAGAGATAATTCTTCGCTGTATTTAATGAAAATGTTTCGGAAAGATTGATTTTATAGAATCGAACTCTGTCAAAAATAGTATTCCATGAAAAGATTACCTTTTCGAAGATCTGGACTAGGTATTAAATTCCTTCCTCCGCCGAAACCGTGGATAATGATCTTCGTCGGATTCGACCTGTTAAATCTGGAATAATGAAGTGACTCGAACCTTCGAACGTCTATTCGTAAAGGTTTCTTTGGTGTGTCTCTGCGAAATAATCGAATAAAAGTGTTACGGCTACAAGAAAGTTACATTCTCTTTTTAAACGGTCTTTCTAATAAAACAAGAAGTGCATTTGAAATTAGCATAAACAAGAAAAGATCAGACTCTAAAAGTACAAACTGAAAAGGAGAAAAAATACCTTGTATAGATTCTAAATAGATTTGCAAACTAAATTAAACGTACGTTTATTAATGTTACGAAATAAGCGTCGATAACCTTAAAATCTCGATAAAAAGAATTTCCAATTTTGGAACTACGTATTTCTTTTCTTTTCTGGTTATGTTTTCATATTTTTATAACAGCAGTAGTTTCTAATTAATTTCTAAACACATTAGTTAATACTGTACCGGTAAAAACGAAATGTAATAAAAGTATCATGCTACTTAGTATTCACACTGAAAGGTCATAATGCTATGCGGATATTATAAAAAGCGTATGAAATAAAACGAAACTGATGGAATAATCGAAAGAGAAAACGAAAAAGCAGGTGAACGACTTTAACGAAAATAAAAATGTTACGAACGCACGGTATGCTATTCACTTCTCGTCATTAGCGACATTTCACAGAAAGAGAAAGAGAAAGAGAGAGAGACAGAGAGAGAGAGAGAGAGAGAGAGAGAGAGAGAGAGAGAGAAACACGCCATACATGCGCACGCGCATAAGAGAAAAAGAGAAGACACGCATGCGCGAGAGAAAGAAAGAGAGACCGCGCATGTGCGAGAGAAAGAAAGAAGGACTGCGCATGTGCAAGAGAAAGAAAGAAGGACTGCGCATGTGCAAGAGAAAGAAAGAGGGACCGCGTATGCGGGAGAGAAAGAAAGAGAAAAAAGAACCGCGCTTGCGCGAGAGAGAAAATTCCCGCGTGCGCGAGGAGAGAGAGAGAGAGATATACAGAGAGAACTAGCGTGATAAAAGAGGAAAATGCAAGCGGGTAAAAGTATCCGAGAAAAGCAGCTATAGCTATCGGAGAAAGGTGAAGCTTGAAAGGAGGCCACTTTCAGCACGAGACGAAATGATCGTGATCTTGAAATCGAGAGTCTTACGTCGAGGTTCTTCCTTACGGTTTTACGATCTTGCTCGAAGGTGAAGGAAAGTAAGGTGAGGAACCGTGAACGAAGTGGTGTTCGATTGACGTAAAAGTAAATGGTTAAATTTCACCGAAAGTCAAAAGTCGAAACGTTATTTTTTTTCTTTATTTTTTTCATCAGTGCTGCCATCTTGCCGTGACAAGAGATCGAATTCCGATACGGAGGCGGGAAATGTGAGATGGAATAAGAGCGGCGATGATAGAAAGTTATTATTTCTTGATCTTGAATTTCCTGAAACGCTCAGCTGGATGTTTTTTGTCCGCAATTATTAAAATGATAATCAGACGGAATGCTTCGAGGAAAATACTTCGATAGATTGCTGTATAAATATGAATACATGTTTTTTCTTGCTTTTTTAATATTTAGTAGAGTAATTTATATGTTTGTACTACAAAATCTTTATTGCTAAAATCTACAAAAATTTTGTGCATTTATTCGAAACATTTTTCATACACAGTACTATATACTCGTAAGTTTAATTGCGCAATGCAAAAGAGCGATGTAATTCAATTCATTCCAATTCATTTCAGTCAAGACGATGAAATTCACATTTTGTTGCTATAGTTATTTTCAGTTTCACCACATTTGAACGGATCGCAATTAAACTTACTATCGTACCGTTAGTACACAGAAACGAAGAATTCGCTATAACTACGTAAGGGGTTAAAGTTCACTGTAAGTATATAAGCATTAATATCACTGAAAACACGTAAAATACCTAATCTAACCACACCTAACCTAAAAATATTTTATACACTTCCAATGAAGCGAAAATAGCTTACCTTGTGTATAAATAAAATTGTATCTGAGGATGTGGACATTCGTATGGAGGTTTCGCGCAGGACGTGCTGTTGAACAGATCCTTAAACGTTTGGGGCTCCGCACTCACATCATCTACGAACGAATGCAGCGCACGTTATCGATCTACATATCGATTACCCTCAACACGCTCCACGTGAATCACTCATAATCCACGAAAATTACTTTCATTAAACGAAGAAACTAAAAATCACTAACCTAACCTCGACGTTACCTCGACAAAAATTCTAAAATTCGTTTAACTCACTTCGAAATACAGTCAGACCAGAAAAGAACTGAGAACTGAAATGAAGTTTAACCTGACACTTTTTCCAATAAAAAAGGATATCAAATTCATTTCTCCTATAACAAACATCACTATGTCTTAATACGACTTCTGAAACGAATACAACGATAAAATTAAGCTCAGAGAAATTTTCACTCGTGGATAAACGATTTGCGAAGAAAGAAGAAAAATGAACGAACTTGTTCCGATCGATACAAAGATTAACTCCCCGCTCAAACGATCTCGGTTTCACGGGAATTATTTTTGCACGCCTAGTTGACCGCTCGGCGTCTAAGATCAACTATAATAGACATTCCGAGTGTTTTGCATCGAAAACTGTTGAATCGTTGCGAGAAACTGAGAAAACAGGTGAAGGTCGCGTTATTCCATTGCATTTAATTTTTTATCACTCGTCTCCTGCTGATCGTACTGTTGCGTCGACGACACGAACATCTATCTTACAGAAGATCGATTAAACGCAACCGTGAGTTTGTAAGAATCTAATTAATACGGAAGATTACTAGAGCGTCGACATAGTTCAGGGTTTTTCTTTGAAGGCTACCTCCGATTAATACTACTTACTGATACGCGTTTGCATTATAAATTATCGAGTGTTACAATTTTTTTTTCATTTTCCTAAGTTGCATGCGTCTTGTGAGAAAAGAAGCCACAGATCTATCATTACTATGTTTCACTGGGCGGTGAATTAATGAATTTGTGCCATGAATTTCTAAAAATTACTTCTTTGTCATCGAACAGAACGTAACTTAACAATGTTCAATTACTTTGCTGTACAATAACAGCGAAAATTCTCATCGTACTTTTTTTTGGAGAATGTGCATTTATTTTTTATTACATTTATAATTAGGTGTCATAAGAATATTAATGCTATACTCGGTAATATTATCACGTGCAAATTTAAATAAGAAAAGAAAGAGTGCCTTTTAGTGTCGTCGATTTATGTACAAGAGATGGAAATTTCTGCACAGACCTATAAATAAGTACACTTCACATTACTGTTACTTCCATTATCGCTAACCTCGACATTTTAATTCACCAAAAAACTGAAAGATGAAATACTGTCATTTGACAGCATCTTTTGCTCGTGAAACCAATTTGATTTACAAACGATGGAAACTTTTGCACAGACCTAATGCACCTACCTATAAATAAGTACACTTCACATTACTGTTACTTCCATTATTGCTAACTTGGACATTTTAATTCACCCAAAAAACTGAAACATGAGATACTGTCATTTAACAGCACCTTTCGCTCCTAAAACGAATCATCCCTGATCTAACACAAAATCTACCCAAAAATCGTCACTACACAGGACAATATAATCCTCAAGCAAGAACAAGCACGGAACCATCGTCAAACACCGTCGACTCTTCTTCAAACCGAACTTAACCAAATTTCACTCGCAGACACACGGTACAAATATCACGTACCAACGAACGGTAACAATTAATTAACAACTGAACGAAACAATTTCTGTCGTACGACGAACAAGTCGAAGTGTTTGACCAAACACCAACGATCAACCTTGGAAAAGAGCTCGAGAGGCAGATCCTCGGGGAAATTTCTCGTTGTTTACCGTCGACGGTGAGAAAGAGAGAAACCGGTGTCCGATAATCGAGGGTAAACTACTTACGATACAGCAATACAGCGAGGAGGACGAGAACGAGGTATCTCACGACACTGACCGCCATCTCCCGCACTCCCGTGGTTTGTGACATAACATTCAGACACGCGGTGGTGAAAAATGAGTAAAAGTGCTTCCCGCCGCTTCTCCCAAACGATTGCAACATGTAAAGTCCACTATAGGGAGATCCAAGAGGAACCCAGAGGGGGACTTTAGAAAGTTACACGTTGCTCTAGACACGCGTGCCAGGACTTCTCTCTGGTTTTCTGGGTGCACGCGCGCGCGCGCGCATGGTGCATCACGATGTTCGAGTTCATGTTGCGTTGGAGTAATAGGTGGAATTGGTATATACGTTGACAGTCAGAATATCCGGCGAAAGAGTGGTGCATCTTCAGCCGATGTTCGAGGCGAGCGTCGACTTCCGGGAAAGTGTCGCGTGCCGTTAGAATCGCCTCGTTCATTTGTTGGTTATCCACGGTAGCACGCTCGGGATTTAATCTTGGAGGGAGATGAGTTGAACGCGTAAGAACACATTTTTATGGAAAATCCTCTTTACGTGACGGTTAATTCGTAAGTAGTACGGAAATACTGGGTACAGAAAGAACACATTTTTATGGAAAATCCTCTTTACGTGACGGTTAATTCGTAAGTAGTACGGAAATATAATAGAAGATACGATAGAAAAAAAAAGAATTTGGTTATCTACGGTGGCACACTCGGGATTTAATCTTGGAGGGAGATGAAAATCTTTACGTGACGGTTCATTTTTAAGTAGTACAGAAATACTGGGTACAGAAATGGGAGGGCGTTTGCACCATTAGTGCAGTAGAGTCCATCCAGTTCTTCTTTGACTTCTTGGTAGTTCAGCTTCGACATGCACATGCACACACATATATAACCAACCACCAAACCCTCGAAAAATTCACTCACAATTCGCTGATTAAGCAGCTGAGCTCTGCAACGTAGATTTGACTGCATTTTCTCCTTTCTTTCACTCAGATCGTCATCCTTCCTTCCTTCCTTCCACTCAGATTGTCATCCTTCCTTCCTTCCTCTCAGATCGTCATCCTTCCATCAATTATTTCAGTTCCAGTTGATTTTGCAAGACTCACAAACTCACAAAGTGTGAGTCACTGTGGAATGGACGACGCGAAAAGTACTTCGAAACGCGGTTTATTTCAGTTTTATTCAGTGAGGGGAAACCGCGAGTTTATATTACTTTCAATATTATTATTGAACTAAACTTTCGTAGAACGCGAGTGAAAAATTGAAAGAATCAAACGAAAAAACGCGTAATTGATTCTAATGTATACAAGTGTTACAAGAAGGCTGAGTGTGTACAGGGTGGACATAGGCTAGCTAGTAGCCCCCGACCACTCTATGAACTTTAACGTCTATACTCGAAAGTGTATCGTCAACACTAACACGTTACCCAGATTATCCAAAAATTGAAGAAGTTACTTTTAAAATTGAACATTCTACGGTGTTTCGAGAGATTTGATAATCATAGTCGAACCTTAAACGAACGTTCAAACGAAGAAAATTTTCCAAAAATCATTTCGTACGTTATTAATCGATAAAACAAAAATTCATTGTTGAAAAATAAATATTTCCTGAAAATCTTCATCTTCCATACAAGATTCAAGATTTTCCCTAATTAAGAGTAATTTCAAAAGATTATCTGTATAAGCTATTATTTCAATACGCGATGCACTGACTCTAGTATTTACTAAAATTCAAAAATTCTCGTATAAATTCCGAAAATAGATTATTAATTACGGTAAACTACTGAGACGGTTTAATTAAGGGTGGGCATGGTGCTGCTTTAGTTTGAAATGATTTATAAACACATAATTAACAGAGGAAAAACCGTGAAACGGCAAAACGTCTACATTCTAATTGTTATAACATGTAAACAGAACTTTAAATTTAGTGTAAACAGAAAAAATATATAATACAATTTATTTCACGGTATTGCAACAAATAAACGTTGAATCAATATTTAATTCGTATAAAAACAATTATTTAACGTAATAATTTTACCTTCACTATGGCTATTTTAAATTTACGACCAAGGGTCAACCTGATTTCTAATCCTTACGAACTTTAAATTCAGTCTAAACTGAGAAAATATATAATACAATTTATTTCACGGTATTGCAACAAATAAACGTTGAATCAATATTTAATTCGTATAAAAACAATTATTTAACGTAATAATTTTACCTTCACTATGGCTATTTTTAATCTACGACCACAGGTCAACCTGATTTCTAATCCTTACGAACTTTAAATTCAGTCTAAACTGAGAAAATATATAATACAATTTATTTCATGGTATTGCAACAAACAAACGTTGAATAGATTCTTAATTCGTATAGAAACATTTATTTAAAATAATAATTTCACCTTCACTATGGGTATTTTAAATTTACGACCAAGGGTCAACCTGATTTTTAATCCTCCGAACTTGATTTCACAACGAGAAAGTAATAAGATCGTTGAAACGTACTTATTTGTCAAAGAAACTTGCAAAAATGTATAAATAATAATATGTAATGTTTTAACAAATTTTTGGAAGTATAAATTAATAATAAAATTGTGAAAATTAATAAATTATACGTTATTATAACATTAATAGAATTATGACTAAACCGAAGTTCGAAGTCGAGTATTTAAAGTCTGATATTACGTGCCTAACGAGTGCCGGTAATTGTTAAAATTTGTTTAATAATTAGTAATAGAAATTCTAATTGATTCTAATGTATACAAGTGTTACAAGAAGGCTGAGTGTGTACAGGGTGGACATAGACTAGCTAGTAGCCCCCGACCACTCTATTCACATCTCAGAACCTTCAGGTCAAAATATGCCGCGAAGTGTCTATGGCCCAGTATAAAGGGTGAATAAATTCGCGGGACATCGGCGGGTCCTTATATACCTGCGGTACCCCCACCTCAAAATCATTAGCAAAGTCATTAGCGAAGTCGTTAGTAAAGTCGTTAATAAGGTCAGGCGGGAAATTTTTGCGGGAGATTTCCGTTATCATAACACGGTGTAATTTATCAATTTTCACAATTTTGTTATAAATTTGTACTTCGAACAATTTGTTATAACACTACGTATTACCATTTATACGTTTTTGCAATATTCTTCAAGAAATAACTACGTTTCAATGATCCTATCACTCTCCTGTGGTGAAACTAAGTTCGTAACGGTTAAAATTCAGGTTGACCTATGGTCATTCATTGAAAATAGCCATAGTGAAGGTAGAATTATTGTTTTAAACAACTTTTTACACGAATCAAAAGTTTATTCAACGTTCGTTCATTTGTAATACCATATACTCTAGTTTCTTATAAATCTTATTATAAGACTTGTAATAAATAAAAGTTGTTATGAAATTAGGAATTTCTTTTATTTTAATCAAATAAAATAATATTCCTAATTATTATAGAATTGTGAATAATCTGTCTTATGTGAAATGTTCTTGTAAGAATAATCCTTTAACTAATTCTGAATCTTCTATTTACACGTTATAACAATTACAGTGTATACGCTTTGCTGTTTCACGGTATTTTCTCTGTGAATTCTGTATTACAAATTATTTCAAACTGAAAGCAACGTTCAACCTAATTTACTCAAATTTACATTCAGTTCTGCCTGAATTTTCGAAATTCAACAGAACACGGGTAAACTTCCGTTCCATTTAAACAATATCCTCTACCAAACAGGACAAAGTAATTGTGCAAAAATGAATTTAGGTGAGCGAAGGATAGTAAGTTTGTCGTGACAAATATAAACAATACATTCATCTCATTTTATTAATAGAAATAGAGAGATACAGTATATTTCGTACGTAATATATTGTATTACGTGTGCAGAACTTTGATATTTTTTATTACAGCGTAAGGAGAAATCTTGGAATTTTTCGCTTTTAACAATAGTTGATACAAATTAAATTTGCAGTTTAAAATTGAGCTTCTCGAAGAAGCACGTTCAAATCAGAAAATGGGAATAAACACAATTGGAGAGAAAAATAAGAAGAATCGTTCAATTTACTATTTACTATCAATTGAAATTTCTGTTTCAACGAAACCTACATAAACACCGTAACCACAAAATTCCTGTAACCCTGTTCACAGCGATTATCCTACTTGTCTGAAAGAAAATGATGAGTATTTGAAAAGATTGGCTTACGATTTATTGTCAATAATCAGTATTTCTTGTCTTCTTTTTTTCTTTTAATTACATAATACACTCAAAATTACAGTATACATACATATTTTACATAATTATTATCGTAATAATTATTAACAAACCAGACCTTACCGGTATGCGTAACAATGACTCGTTTTTTGTTTTGCTTTTTTTTGTCCTTTTCACTCTATAACTTGCAGCTACTAGTGTATATTTAATAGAACAGGCTCGCTAGTGTTTTTGTTTATTTTTTTGTTGCTTTTGTTACTTCTTAAACAGTCAAAATAGAATTTTTTTTTTTTCTTGTTGCTTAAATCGACCATCGCGAGCTTATCGGGATAATTTACCGTTGGCCATCTTCGTTATTCATGAGACACTACTGTGAGAAAGAGGTGCGAATTAGCGATTACCTTCGAAAGAGTTTTAACGTCGTAATGGACACAGAGGAGTGAGTGTTTTAACGCAAGCAAATCGATCCCACTCGCGCGATTCCATCTCGATGATCGGACCGTGCCCATGATTACGAACCTTCCACGGCCCAAATCCTCACGCCATGATGATGGTACAAGTGAAATTCTACGTATCTTCCAACTTCAACATATTCAAACTGATATTACCGGTGTCGACGTTGCAACGCATTATTAACGAGAAAACTCGCGTTCGAAAATTCAAACTTGGCGCCATTTAAACGCGTCGTTGACAAATGTTTCCAAGAATTCTCAAATACCTTTAAGGATATCTGTGAATTTCTTTTTTAATTCTTACAGAAGATCCTTAATTTTCGGCAATTTTCAACGTGGAAATTCGAAACTGATCGAACATTACAAAGAAGACAGTCCTGCAAATTTTTGTTAAGTAATTAAGCACTC